GCACCAGCAGGCCCAGCAGCTCCAGTACCTCCAGTACGAGCACCTCCAGGAGCCGTGGCTCCAGCACCCCCAGCAGAAGTAGAACCTCCAGTACCGGCTCCAGTAGCACCACCAGCTCCAGTACCTCCAGTAGCAGCAGAACCTCCAGCAGCGGCAGCACCTCCAGCTCCAGCAGCACGGCTCCAGCGGCGAGCAAACCACTCGCGCAGCTCCTGTGGAGAGGGAAGCTCCTGCCGGGACAACGCACCCGAAGGACTGCCAGGTCCAGCACCGGCAGGCTCCACACCCCCACTCCCAGCAGCCCCAGGCTCAGCACCCCCAGAAGCAGCACCCCCAGGCTCCGCACGCTCAGGCTCAGCACCCCCAGACCCAGCACCCCCAGGCTCCGCACCCCCAGGCTCAGCACCCCGAGACTCCGCACGCTCAGGCTCAGCACCCCCAGACTCAGCACCCCCAGGCTCAGCACGCTCAGGCTCAGCACCCCCAGACGCACCAGAGTCAGCAGCTACCTCGACAGGCTCGACTGCATCTACCTGGGACACACCTGAGGGGGCAGGACCCTGTGGGGGGAGGGGGTCTACCGGGGGGGGACCTTGCGCGAGGAAGAGCGGCGGGGGGGGGGACGGGGGCAGTGCGGTAGGGGAAGAGACGGTAGTACGGAACCGACTCGTCAAACATGACGTCCTGGGAGGACAGAACACGACGCGAGGTGGGGTGGTAAAACTGCCAACCAGGCGCGTCAGGGGGAAAGCCGAGGAAGACGCAAGGAACAGCACGGGAGGACAGCTTGTCCGCAGACAAGTCTCGAACGAAAGCTCGAGATCCCCAGACACGGAACGCAGACGCATCACCAACCTTCCCCGTCCACCGAGGTCTCCGGCAGGGAGACCCGGGGCTGAAGGTTGATATGATGCGCCGCGTACTGAACCGCGAACGGCCACAGAAAATGGGGAGCAGCCGCATGGATCATAGACGTACGAGCGACATCTATGAACATGCCAATGCGGCGCTCAGCAATCCCATTTTGCTGTGGAGAGGCCGGAAGCGTGAACGTCTGGCGGATGCCCTCCGCACGACAGAAGGCTCGCAGAAGGTCGGAGGAAAACTCTCCGCCTCTGTCGGAGTGCAGACGCAGAACAGGAAAGTCCGAGCCGAAACGCTCTCTGAGCTGGAGACGAGCAACGCGGATCCAGTCGATCAACACATCAGTGACCTCACCCTTGCTGCGCAAGGGGAAGACAGTGGTGTAACGCGAGTAGTCGTCAACCACCAGCAGGAAGTAACGCTCGTGACCCTGTCCACGGACGCGGGCTGGGCCCCACACGTCCATGTGAAGAGTCTGCAGCGGAGCCTCTGTGGGGGGAAACTCGGAGGAGTGAGGAGCGGCGCGCTGCCGCCCCTCGACGCAGGGAACGCAGGTAGGGGCAGGCCCCGGGGGAAGGGGAGGGAGGGACCGGGGGAGACCAGAGACAAGGACACGGGAGGCCATGCCTCGGAGACGAGGCAAGGAGGGGTGACCAAGTCGGTGGTGCCAGAGGAGGGTCCGGTGGGACAGGAGGCGACACGAGCAGGGGGCAGACTCAGGACCTGACCGAGACGCTGCAGCAAACACCTGACTCGACGCAGCTACCTGACCAGACGCAGCAACCGGAGGAGACTCTGTGGTCAGTGTGTACAGGCTCGACCCCGGTCGATGGGTAAACGTGGCCAAGTGGCGGCCCGTCTGAGCACACGTGCAGTGGGTCACTCGCTGACCTGCAGGAGTGAACTGGTCAACTCCGGCATCCTGAAGGTCAGCACCATTCACCAAGTTCGTGGAGAACGAGGGGAGGTAGAGACCAGACAGGGAGCCTGACGGGGCCGCCGGACACGGGAGGACAGTGGAGTAGCGAGCAAGGACAGGACCCCCAGAGGGGTCCGCCATGGAGACCGCAACCGGCCGACTGAGCGGCGTAAGGGTGGTGCGGTCTCGAAAGAAGGAGCGGGAAGCACCCGAGTCGAGGGTGAAGGTGTGAAAGACCTGAGCCGATGCGGTACCTGAGAGAGCAGCCTCACCAGCACCTAGAGTAGCAGACTCACGAGTACCTGGAGCAGCAGACTCACTAGCACCTAGAGCAGCAGCCTCAATACCAGGGTCAGGCGGAACACACACGTAACAGTCACCCTCAGCACTAATAGACACAGCATACATGGCAGCAAGAATAGCATCAAAGTCAAGATCAAAGATAGCTACCCCCGACCTGAGCAGATCACTCCAACGACGGATCTCAGTGGCGTCCGGGGACTGGGCACACCAGGCGTCCGTCAGGCGACCGAAGCAGCGCTGGGTGGCGTGCAGGCCGCCACACTGCTCTCCAGTGCGGTCGCCGGTGCGCAGGACGTAAGTACAGGGACCAGCACCTCCAGACCCCTGGCGCCCCGCGTACCACTCACGAAGCTGCTGGGGCGAAGGGGTCTCACGAGAGCGCTGCTGCTGCTGGGGTCCCCGCTGCACAGCTCCGCCTCTGCCAGCTCCACCTCCGCCGCCGCCGCCTCCGCCTCCTCCACCCCTCCCGCCACCGCCACCGCCGCCTCCACCTCCACCGCCGCCACCGAAGCCCCCACCTCTGCCACCACCCCCACCCCCACCCCCTCCTCCGCCTCCACCGCCACTACCGCCGCCCCCACCACCTCCTCCAGCTCCCTTGCCCCGCTTGCCCTTGCTGATGCGGCGCCTCTCACTAGGAGCAGACGCAGCGCTGACCGACTCGGTGCCAACAAGGTCGACAGCAGCAGCAGAGGCAACAGAGGGCAAAAGAGGAACAGGGGAGCACCCCTCAAAGAAAGGGGTACGGGGGTCACCACGAGAGGCGCCTACAGCGGTAATACTAGTCTCTGCTGCAAGGAGGCGCTCCTCGAGGAGGTTGACAGTGAGGGTGGTAGGGCAAAGAGAGAGGAAGTGGTCCCTGACCGAGCGGAGAGTGTCAGGGAGTCGAGTGACTAGGTAGTAGAGGGTGATGTACATGGGGGGGGGGTTCTGGGCACAGAACTCAGCAGGAAGCGCAGCGCGGTAGCGAGTGTCACTAGTGCGGAGGTGCGTAATGAGGTCAGTGACTGTGGCAAAGGCAGCGAGATCAGGGAAAAGGTACGGTAGCATGAGGCGGCTAAGCGCAGCAGTGGCAAGGGAAGAGTAGCGTGCAACTACAGCGTCGTACAGAGTCTTAGCACTCTTGTACTGACTAAAGTGCGCGCGCTCAGTAGACGGTAGGTGACTACGCACAGCAAGGCGGGCAGCAGCATCGCGCGTGAGCCACTGCGAGCGAACGGTACTGTCAGCATCAGCAGCAGGGGCAGTAGAGGCGCCCGACGTAAGATCAAACAGGGAGAGGCCATCCTTGCTATCGCACTGAAGAAAAAGCTGCAGATCATCTAGCCAGACATCAAAGGCAACCGCTCGACCCTCAGCATCAAAGGTGAGAAGGGTAGGACTAGCCATGATAGGAGCAGCAGCAGACTAGCAGCGGCAGCAGTGCAACTGAGCTAGGCAGGACAGTGCGACTCGGCAGGGCGACTCGGCAGCGCAGTGCGGCTCGGCCGCGCGGCTCGGCCCGGCTAGGTTCTTACCAGGGGCGGAGCCGACAGGTTCGGGACTGGGTCGGGGCCGGAACAGGGCCGGGACAGGGTCGGGGCCGAGCAGGGTCCGGGACGGGGCAGCAACGGGGCCGAGACAGGGTCGGGGCCGGGGCAGGTCCGGGACAGGGTCGGGGCCGAGCAGGGTCCGGGACGGAGCAGCAACGGGGCCGGGACAGGGTCGGGGCCGGGGCAGGTCCGGGACGGGGTCGGGGCCGGGGCAGGTCCGGGACGGGGCCGAGGTAGGGCCGGGACAGGGTCGGGGCCGGGGCCAAGGCAGGTCCGGGACGGAGGCGAGGCCGGGGCAGGTCCGGGACAGGGCCTTTTAGGGGCGGCGTAGGGGCCGCGTAGGGATCGCGTAGGGGCCGCGTAGGGGCCGTGTAGGGGCCGCTAGGGGGCCGCGAAAGAAATTTTAGGGCAGGGCGCGAGACGCGCTTCGGGCAGCTAAAAAAAAATGTTTATGGTGGGCCCTTAGGAAGGAACGGTCCCATGAGGGAACCCGCTCTATACCATGTGAAGAATTAAACAGGAATGAATGAACTAGGAAAGTGTGAGATACAAATAAGAAACCTGTACCCCTTAGAGTCTACCCCACTACAGCCTACATATGCTAAGGCATATATATCTGACAGTGACGGCTGACGGCCTGAAGCTTCCCCCGTACGTCATCTTCAAGCGGAAGACGGCGCCACGTATCGTGGTGCCACCAGGTGAGCCGGATGTCTTGTTGTCGTTGATTCCGTGTGTTGATAATGTTTTTCCGTTACTGATTTACGGATGTGGCGTGTGCAGGTATCATCATCCGCGCCCAAGAGAAGGGCTGGATGGACGAGCGCCTTATCCAGGATTGGACAACACAGGTGCTCGACCCCTTCTTGAAGCCACTGTGGGACGAGGGCGGACGGCGCAAGCAAGCGCTCCTTGTCTTTGACTCGTACAAGGGGCACCTTACGGAATCCGTGGGGCAAACACTGAAGATGTTTAAGGTGACGCGTGCCGTCATCTCAGGCGGTTGCACCCCCCTGGTACAACCGCTTGACGTCTCCATCAATTGCAGTTTCAAGTGCGGTGTGCGCCACCGCTACAGCACGTGGTTTGAGGAGGTCGGGATTGGCCAAACGACACGTGCAGGTGAGTCCTTGTCGCTTTGTGTGCTTTCAGATGACAAGGCAGCATTAAATCCACCGCCGTAACATCTCTACCGTTCATTCTTATCGTGAACTGCAGGGAACTTGAAGAAGCCCCTCCCTGAAGTGATCCTGAAGTGGATCGTCGAGTCATAGGCTGATGTGCCAGAGGAGTTGGTGAAGAAATCCTTTCTCACCTGCGGCATCTCCAGTGCAGAAGACGAGAGCAAGGATATCCTCGCTCACCTGCGGGACAAGGCGGAAATGGAGGTGCTAGAGGATGTGCTGGAGGAGGAGGAGGACGGTGCACACCCCAACCCGCTCTACGAAGACCCCTCGCACGCCCCGGAGCCCCCGCCATCAAGGACGACAAGGCAGAGGACGAGGAGGAAGGGCTTACAGGGGAGGAAGATGTGGTGGATGCCGCTGCCGAGGAAGGGGATGGGATGGCTCCGGACGAGGAGGGGGGTGAGGCAGATGTAGAGATGGGAGGTGCGGATGAGTGGAGCGAGGATGTAGACGACTGGTGGGCAGCAGGCCGCTATGAGGGAGAGGAAGTGGAGGAGTGGGTTGCGGGCGAGGATGACTGATTATTTTGATGTGTTTCTCAACCCATGTTGCCCTTGGTGTCAAACTTGCTAACCGTGAATACGTTGCATTGGTGTCATGCTTGTCTTGCTAGTGAACAACTTGAAAAGACATCATATTTCCATTAAAAACACGTGTCAACCACAGAGGGGGGGGTCTAGTAATGTTTACCCCTCTAAGGGGGGGTATAGTGAAAACCTGCCAAAAAAAAAGACCCACCCCCGTAATACCGTATCACCTCGGTTATAAGCGTATGTGCGCTTATAATAATACATTGATTTTTAGGGGGGTGCGCTTATAAATGAGTAACGGGCATAAGCGCATGCGGTTGTAATAAGTAAAAAATGAAATTGACTTTAAATTATACCAAATTGAAGCCCACTGTAAGGCGAATGCAGCCAACCATGCATCACGAGGGGTCGTGCATGAATTCGAGGCGAAAACAGCAACGCGCCTCGGTTTCCCACCCCACACTTTCGTCTAGAAGCATCGCACCTGCCAGCGATGACGCGAATCTTGCCGTGCGGCCCAATCACATCGCCCTGCGCTGCGTGGCATGCAAATTTCATCCGAACCCTCTCGAAGGGTGCGGAAGATTCCCTGCCAGCGCAGCGATTATGCTGCCACGCAGAGTCCTCTGTGTGTTCATGCGGGGATTTCCCGCCTGCACCTGACAAGGACCCTGAGCCGCAAAATCAGCAGGGGTCCCCTCTGTTTCCCATTTCTGCAACCCCTCTTTCTATTTTTTCATTTAGTTTCTCGCTCTAGCCCGCCTGGCTGGCGAAGCCATGGCGGAACTCTCTTGGACACACTTCCTTTTTAAGAAGAAACCGAGATGCGCGTGGCGATTAACCGACGACGGGTGGTATACCCGTGAACCTCCTGATCCTCCTTACCCATCCGTGCCTCCTTCGCCGCCTGCTCCCCCTGCTCCTCCTGCTCCACCTGCTCCACCTGCTCCACCTGCTCCACCTGCTCCACCTGCTCCTCCCGCCCCTCCTGCTCCTCCGAATCTGCCCACTCCTTTTACGAGTACTGGTTCTCCTTACGCGGGCAAATGGCCCGTGCTCCAGCTCTTGCTACCAGCGACGTTTGATGAGTGGCTGTCTGAGCCGAAGGCCGACAAGCCCGCCGATGTATATGTTGAAGCATCGCCGCCGGCACCACGTTGGGGACAGCCCGACGACTGCGCGTTGGATGAGTCGACTGTGGGCGCCGACGACGATGTACCCATCGACGAGCAGCCGCGTGGCGACGACGAACTTGGTGGCGACGGTGAAACGGGCGGCGAGGCTGGCACAGAGGCGGACGTCTTCCCAGAGGGCGTTGCCAGCGCTGCGGACGACGACGGCGTTGAGACTTGGTGGCGCGATGCCCCGCGCGAGAAGATGCCGATTCCTACATATCCTCCGATTAACAGAAAACGTCCCCACCCCTCTGTTGAGAACCGAGATGACCGCCCCCCCTCCCCCAGGCATAGACCGACATAACATAAGCGTGCCTCGTACACCGCCCAGGAGAAGCTTAAGTGGCTTGTGCGCTTGGAGGTTGCAGCATCGATTAGCATGGTGGGGCGGGAGTCCGGCATCCACCGCAAGTGCTTGACCGAGTGGAAGCAGCAGGCGCAGGAGCTGGAGGACGCCCACAGCGCACGGAAGTGTCAAGTTACATTTGTATGTGTAGGCTGTAGTGGGGTAGCCTCTACTGAGTACAACACTTTAGGTCAAACCTAGTACTTGTACTCATCCTTGCTTGCTAGTCAACCATTCCTGCACAGTTGATTCTGACATGGTATTCATAGCAGGAAACCTGTTAGTATTTTAGGGCCCACCGATCGTTCTGCTAGTTCCTGCACGAAGCGCCCTTGCGCTGTCCGGCCCTCTCGCACAGTGTCACGCTGCCCTGCAGCTACTCGCACTGCCTGCCCTAGCGCGCTGCCCTGCTGTAACGCGTGCCCCTGCTGCCCGCGAGCAGCTCCTGCCCCGCGCGCCCCTGCTGCCCGCGAGCGGCCCCTGTCCCGCGCGCCCCTACTGCCCGCGAGCAGCCCCTGCCCCGCGCGCCACTGCTGCCTGCCAGCAGCCCCTGCCCCGAGCGCCCTTGCTGCCCGCGAGCAGCCCCTGCCCCGCGCGCCACTGCTGCCCGCGAGCAGCCCCTGCTGCCCGCGAGCAGGCCTTGCCCTGCGCGCCCCTTCTGCCCGCGAGCAGCCCCGCAGCCCAGCGCGCCCCGCAGCCCTAAACGCGCCAGCGCGCCCCGCAGCCCAGCGCGCCAGCGCGCCCCGCAGCCCAGCGCGCCCTGCTGCTAAGCGCGCCAGCGCGCCCTGCAACCCTAAATAATAATAATGATAATAAAAAAAAAAACCCCCAGCGCGCCCTGCTGCCCAGCGCGCCCTACTGCCCAGCGCGCTGCTGCTGCACACGCTGCTACTGCTGCGCTGTGCCCTGCTGAGCAGCGCTGCCCAGGCCGAGCCGCGCCGCCCAAGCCGAGCCGCCCTCCTGCTAGTAATGCTGCTGCTGCTGCTCGTGCTACTGCTGCTGCTGGTTGAGGTGCTGCTGGGAGTGCTGAAGGAGCCGCTGCCCAGCCCCACCGAGGCGCCCTGCTGCTACTACTGCTGCTGCTGCTGCTCGTGCTACTACTGCTGCTGGAGGAGGTGCGGCTGGGAGTACTGGAGGTGCTGCTGGTGCTGGAGGTGCTGGACCTACTACTGACCGTCACTACCTGTCATGGCCACTATCACGGCAATTGCAGCGGCTAGGGGTGGACAGGAACGGTCACTGCCTCTCCCGGACGACCCCACCCCTCAGCAGCTTTGTGAGTGGGTTATTCAGCGAGGTAGTCCTGGTGGTGGAGGTTTTGGTTTTATGTGGCCTCAGCAACCTCATGACTGTGCTTCTCAGCGATACGTCCCTGGTCGTGTAGAGGCTGCTGCTCTCGGTTCTAGTGAGACTGCTGTCGCTCCAGGTGCTGGTGAGTCTGTTGCAACTCTAGGTGCTCGTGAGTCTGCCGACGCTCTAGGTGCTAGTGCGTCGATGCGGAGGGCCGCCCGATCGAGTTCAGTACCTGGCAGCGCCAGGCCATGCGCTACCTCACCAGTCAGCGTCAGGACGGCGCCACCCTGTGGGCCCACGCGTCCGGTGCCCTCATGGCGCCCCTCCCGACCGACCCGGAGCCGACTCCTACGGCGCAGGCGGACTACGACCGTTGTGTCTTGGCGAGGGACGTATGGGACTCTCGCGACGCTGCCGCTGCTCTTTCGCTGACGGAGCTCCTCCCACCGACTGAGGCCGTCCACTTTGCCCAGGTGGAGACTGCGCAGGGGATTTGGGATTTTGTTGTTGCGCGCTATTCCACCCCTTCCTCTGCCTCCCTTAGTCACCTCCTCATGTCGTTCGTGTTTCCCGACCTTGGCTCGTTTGCGACTGTGTCCGACCTCGTGACTCACTTGCGTTTACTTGACGCCGGTTTCCGTGCGGCCTGCACCAATGCCCAACTTCTTGTTGCCCCCCCTCCCCCCCCATGTGGCTCACTGTGCACTGGTTAGTCACATGCCTCCCTGACCGCCTCGCTACTGCTCGCGACGTGCTTCTCCAGAAGCACCCCACTGAGCTTACTATCAATCTCCTTGAGACCGCTCTCGGGAAGATCGAGAGTAACCTCATCTCCGTTGCCTCCGCCACTGGCGTAGTCCCCCCCCATCTTTTTGCGGGGTGTGCTGCCCCTCAGCTTCCCACTTTCACTGCTACCCGAGCTTCTGCTACTGTGTCGGTTCTTGAGGACACTGCTGCCGTCTCTGCCGCTGACTGGCAGAAACGGGCCAAGAGTGGCAAAAAGGGCGGGGAGGGAGGTGGAGGGGGTGGTGGTGGTGGCGGTGGAGCTGGGAGCGGTGGTGGTGGCGGCGGCGGCGGTGGTGCCCCTGGAGGAGGGAGCCTTGGAGGAGGTGCAGGACAGACAAGCCCACCTATTAGCGGTGTTCAGACCGGCGGGGGTGTCAGACCCCAGCACCAGCAGCCACAGTACCACCAGCCACAGCAGAGACAGCAGCACCAGCAGGGACAGTAGCTGCAGCAGGCACCGCAGCAGTTCCAGCCTTGGGTGTGAGAATTGTACGAGGAATGAATGGTGAACTAGAAAGAAGATGGGTACAAGTATGAAAACCTAGAAAAGCTGTTTCCCATAATGTCTACCCCACTACAGCCTACACATGCTATATCATATATGTTTGACACACCCCCATAGGCAAAGTGGGGGAGAACAAGAGGTCACAAGACCAGTCAAGCAAAGCAAAGCAAGCTCAGGGTGGATCACGATGTCACCACACATTCTGAGCACAAGCACAAGGCCACAAGGCCAGTTCACATGCAGAGTTATATATCAAGGTGAACAAGCAAGACAGTGATCTCAACCTAGCAAGGGTAAGCATGCAGGTGCAGGTATATAGAAATCACAGTATAAGCAAAGTCAAGAAGTGAGCAAGTGAGGCCAAGTAGGCACAAGACCTAGCATAGTACAAAAACGCTGATGATCACAAGGCTGAAGTGCCTTGGTAAAGATATCAGCAGTGTTGGCCCGAGTGGCCACGTAAGCAAGATGAAGTTGACCACGCTGCTGCAACTCTCGAGCAAGGAAGTAGCGCAGAGCAATGTGCTTCGTTCTGTGCTCCAGTCTGTGCTCCTGACACAAGGCCAGCATGGCCTTGTTGTCGACGTACAGAACTGGAGGAGAACAAGGCACCTCTCCCAAGTCAGTCAGCAGGTAGGTGAGCCAGCGTAACTCCTGTGCAGCCATGCCCCCAGCGTAGATCTCAGCCTCACAACTGGAGCTGAGAACAAAAGACGAGCGGGTAGACCGCCACGAAACAGAGCCGGAACCAAGGCTGAAGGTGTAACCCTGTGACGACCGCAGCGTAGCCAAGTCGTCAACCCAAGAAGCGTCTGCGTGACCAGTGAGGACAACTCGGGCCCGTCCTCCAAGCACTAGCCCCATGCCCGACGTACTGCACAGGTAG